TATTTTGTTTGGGAGATCTATCCCCTGTTGACAGTGGGGTGTTAAAATCCCCTACTATTAAGTGTGTTGCTGTCTATATCTTTCTCAAAGTCCTCCAAGATTTTTCTTATATATTTGGGTGCTCCTGGGTTGAGTACATATATGCTTTTAAAGCTCATGTCTTTTTGATAGATTCTTCCCTTAAGTATTATGAAGTGCCCTTCTGGGTCTCCTTTTATGGTCTTTGTTTTGAAGTCTATTTTTTCTGATACAAGTATTGCTACTGTGGATTTTTTTCCCTGTCTGTTTGCTTGGAACATTTTTTTCCAAACTTCACTTTCAGTGTGTATAGGTCTTTGTTCTGAGGTGGATCTCTTGCAGGCAGCACGTGCGTGGATCATGTTTTCTTATCTGTTCAGCTACTCTGTGTCTTTTGATTGGGGCATTTAATCCATCTACATTTTAGGTTATTATTCATAGATATTCATTCATTGCCATTTTATTCCTTTCGTACCTGTGTTCCTCTCTCTCGCTCTCTCTCTCTCTCGCTCTCACTCACTTTTTCTTCCTGTTCTTAAAGCAGTCCCTTTAGTATATCTTGCAGAGCCAGTTTGGTGGAGGTGTATTCTTTGAACCTTCTTTTGTCTGGGAAACTCCTTATATCACTTTGCATTTTAATTGAGAGCCTTGCTGGATAGAGTAGTCTCAGTTGCAGGGCTTTGGTTTTCATTATTTGGAATATTTCTTGCCATTCCCTTCTGGCTTGGAGCATTTACATTGAGAAGTCAGGAAATTATTGGGACTCCCTTCTGTATTCTTATTTTGCCCTTGCTACCTTTAAGATTCTCTCTTTGTCTTGGAATTTTACCATTTTATTTATGATGTATCTTGGAGTGGGCCTGTTTGGGTTCCTATTGATTGGAACCCTCTGTGCTTCCTGATTTGTGTGACTTTTTTTCTCATCAAATTAGGGAGGTTTTTCATTATTACTTTTTCAAACAGGTTTTTTATCCCTTGCTCTTCTTCTTCTCCTTCTGGTATCCCTATTATATGGATATTATTATGTTTCACATTTTCTGTAGTTCCCTCAATCCCTCTTCATACTTTTTTAATCTGTTTTTCTTTTATTGCTATTTCTAGAATTTTTTTCTACTTTGACCTCCAGTTTGCCGATTCAATCCTCTGCTTCATCTAGCCTGCTTTTGATTATTTCTACTGTGTTCTTCAATTCAGAAATTGTATTCTTCATTTCCTCTTGCCTCTTGTTGATAGTTTCTATTTCCTTTTTCATGTTCATATAGTTTGCAGTGAGTTCCTTGTAGTTTCCCTGTAATTTCTGGTAATTCTCAGTGAGCTCATTGAGCTTTCTTATAACCATTGTTTTGAACTCAATATGTGATAGTTGACTTGCCTCTGTTTCATTTAGCATTCTTTCTGAGGCTTCCTCCTTTCCTTTCATTTGGGGTTTGTTTCTTTGTCTTCCCATTGTTTGTGATACTCTTCGTGTTAGCCTCTGCTTCTTAAATTGATCTGACTCCCTGAGTTTGTGGTGTGAACTTGTATGGTTGGAGACCTATGAGATTCAGTGGTTCAGTCTCTGATCTCCTAAACATGATGCTTTGGGGATGCCCTTTATGCTGTTTATGTTGGCTCTCTGGATGTAATTGGGTTTTGATTGTTGCTGGGTCATTCTTTTGTGAATCCTTCTCTGTAGCTGGTTGAATGAGGGTCACTCCACCCACCACTTCTTATATGCTATTGTACAGGTGCTGCCTGAACAAAACCACAAAGCCCAGGAAACAAGCCCACATCCACAAAAATATCTTTCCTCCCCCAATCCCAGTAACAGTAGCAAATGAACCAGTATTAATAAGGGTGTAAAGAGATTAAGACTGTTATAAGAAACAAGGGAAGTAAACTATACTATAAATTCTAATGACAATATGCATAAACTTGCTAGACAAGAAATGAATGTTGTTAAAAAGCTATACAGAAAAGAAAATATCACTAATGATGGAGAAGACCACAATGGATTTGGTCTTGGCAGACTCTAGTATTTACCATTGTTTTTTTCTTTCTGGATCTGCCTCTAGTGATATTAGATGTTGCCCTCGTCTGATGTTAGGCAGCCTGCTCTGAGATAGCCGGAGATATGCTGACTATAGTTGTCTCCTTCAGTTTTAATCTAGTCACTCTGCACTCAGCGGTCAGGCTTAAACCCCATAGGGCTGGGCAGAATTCCTCTAGGGGTTGGGGCTATTGTTTCCCCTCAGGCTGCTGCTCGGAAGCAAGTGGTCTGCCTGAGCAGGATGGCTGCTGCTGTATGGGGGATGACTCAACACTGATAATACCCGTGGCCACTATCTCAATTCTTTGCCCAAAGCCACCATCCCCAGTCCCTCAAGCATCTCTAGCCTACTGTCCCTCCCTTTTGTCAAGGATCTACTGTCTCTGGCTATCTCCTTCAGTTGTTAATCTAGTTAGTCTGTACTCAGCAGTCAGGCTTAAGCACCACAGAGCCAGTGCAGAATGTCTTGGGAGCAGGACTGTTGTTTCCCCTCAGGCTGCTGCTGCTCAGAGGGGAGTGGTCTGCCTGAGCAGGATGACTGCTGTGGTAAGGAAGCTGGCTCAGCACCAGGAGCTCAGCATCTGTTCTCTCAGTTCTCTCCCCAAAGCTTCCATCCTCAGTCTCTCCTCAGGCATCTCTAGCCACTCTGCCCCCACCTTTGCAGGATCCCTGGGGAAGTGACTGAAAATGAAAATTTGTGCATTGGCCCTTTAAACCGCTCTTTGTGTCTCTAGCCACCCGTCTCTGGCAGAGAGCAGCCCTGTCTCCTTTCACCACCAGTTGTTATCTGTGTACTTTTTGGGCTCTGCTGCTCTAGGCTAGGCATCCCAGCTTAGAGTTTAGACCCAATTCTTAGAGGGATATCTACCTGGCTGCTTAATTATCCCTCTGACACTGCTGCCTCTCAACACCCAGCTAGCCCTCTCAAGTCTCCACCACACTCCTTACCAGTCATTTAGTGCTGAAGATGATTCTTCTGTTTGTCCAGGGTTATAAGGCTTCTCTATCACTGTTGTTCAGTTGTTTGTTATGGGTGATTTGTCCACAATTTAGTTGTAATTCCAAATTGGTCCTGGGAGTAGATATGTGTGGCTTCCATTCACTCCTCTGCCATCTTGCCCTCAATCCTTAGAATTCTTGGCTTGCACCTGCATTACTCCAATCTCTGCCTCTGTCATCACCTGGTGTTCTCCTTGTGTGTGTGTGTCCTCCTTCATGTATCATTTTGCTTTTATAAGGGCACCAGTCATATTGGATTAGGGACCACTGTAATGACCTCATTTTAACTTGATTACCTTGAAAAGGACTCTATTTCCAAATAAAGTTGCATTCATGGATAATGGGTTAGGACTTCAGTGTGTTTTGGGAGAGGGGACATAATCCAACCCATAACAGAGCACTGTGCTCTAATTCTGATGAGCTATTAAGTGGTGGCCTCAGTAACAATACTAACTTTAATAGCTTTTATAAAAGCTTCATGATATATTTATTTGTCTTCAGAAAAATAATAATGCTCCTTCTCCATTATACAGTAAGCCCCAAGATATCATTTATCACACACATATGCATTTTATTGTCTTGTAAGCATAAATACTGGAAAGGAAGCAGAGGTGATTAATTCTATACATAGGGCTTGTCTAATATTCTAAAGTACAGTCTCTCAAATCACAGTTTATGTACCCCTCAAAATAAAACAGTATTACGTAAGAGTTTGTGAATGATGTTTAAGACAGCTGTTGACTGTTCATATATACTACAATCACAGGACTCTTATACATAGACTAGTTTAAGCAGTGCCAGAATCCATTTCTGTAGCGAAATAAAAGAGCATGATTTATGAAATTGTATTCATGTGTGTTAAATTGAAAATGGCAAGTGCTGTGTAGAATATAAGGTAATATTGGAAGAAAGTTAAAAGAACAGTATAGTATCTTCTGAGCATCTGTCTAGTGGACTCATTGCTAGTTTCAATTGTTTTTAATAATAGCCTCAAGTATTTTTTTTTACTCATAAATGCTGTCATCTCTACTCTGTCACAACACAATTGTATTAATATCTCTGACTCCTTAGTATTCTAGTGTGGTAAATACAGTACTCTTGTGGTTCAGGAGTAGAGAACATGGATTCCTTTGGAAAGCATAGTCCATTACCCTGTTCTTCTGGCATAAAAGTGCTGAGACATTACTCACATTTATTCTTTCCAGCAAGTGTTGAGCTCTGCCTTTAATATTTAATTATTTGTTCATTGGTTGTTTTCTTCTATCATTTTGAATTAAGGCATTGACTTTCTATTGAGTTGGCCAAAGAGTTCATTTAGTTTTTTTCTATATGATTGCTCTAGTTAGTTGCTGAAGTTAGTTGTCTTTAACTTCACTTTAAATAACTTTTGTTAGATAGTATTGTGACAGCTGTCATATCAGTGTGCATTTTTTAAAAAACTTGTCAAAATTGGTGAATTTTTGTGTAGCCATTTTAATATTGAAGATGGAAAAAGGCAACATTTTTGGTACATTGTGCTTTATTATTTCAAGAAAAGTAAAAACACAACTGAAATGCAAAAAAAAAAAAAAAGATTTGTGCTTTGTATGGAGAAGGTGCTGTGATTGATCAAAAGTGGTTTGTGAAATTCCTTGGTACTATTGACATTTTAGCCAGATAATTCTTTTCTTTGGGGCTGTCTGATGCATTGGAAGATGTTTAGCAGCACCCCTGGCCTCTACCCACTAGAAGCCAATAGCAGTAGATAGCCAACATTCTCAAAATACCTAAATCAATAAAGTTATTGGTGAAGATGAAAATGTGTCTCTTATTTTACAGAAAAAAACTAAACAGATTTTTTGGCTAACCCAATACATTCTTATGGCACCCTACCCCTTTTTGCTTAAGTTTCAGTTATATAGCAATAATGAAAATTTTGCTTATTCTTTTTTTTCTTTCTTTTAAAACAATACAGGGCAATCTAGAGCAGCTATGATACCTCCCAAGCATCCACGGCAGCCTAAGGGAGCTTTGGATGATGCCATTACCTTTGGAGAAAAAACAAGCCAAGAAACACCTAATACTTTCCAAATTAAACCACCCCCACTGCCAAAGAAAATGATCGTAAGAGCCAATACAGAGCCAATCTCCAAAGACCTCCAAAAATCCATGGAAACTAGTCTTTGTGTCATGGCTAATCCCACCTATGATATCGATCCCAACTGGGACGCCAGCAGTGCTGGCTCTTCCATCAGTTACGAACTCAAGGGACTAGACATTGAATCTTACGACTCCTTAGAGAGACCTTTGCACAAGGAGCGACCTATCCCCTCAGCAGCAAACAGCATCTCCAGCTTAACCACTCTCAGTATTAAGGATCGATTTTCCAACAGTATGGAGTCCCTGTACAGTCGATGTGGTCCCTCTTGGAGACAGGGCCGAGGTATCCAGAAGCCACAGAGACATGCACTTTATCGAGGACTTGAGAATCGGGAAGAAGTGGTAGGAAAAATCCGAAGCCTTCATACAGATGCCTTAAAGAAACTGGCTGTTAAATGTGAAGACCTCTTCATGGCTGGGCAGAAAGACAAGCTCCGTTTTGGGGTGGACAGCTGGTCAGACTTCAGGCTAACCAGTGACAAGCCTTGTTGTGAGGCAGGTGATGCAGTTTACTACACAGCTTCATATGCAAAAGATCCACTTAATAACTATGCAGTCAAGGTAAGAAAATATTATAAATTTGATTTTAATCTTACTGAGCATACTGTTATCAGGGTTGGTTTGCTTTTCTGTCCTTCATTCTTCCACTCAGCAAAAAGTTATTGAGCATCTACCTCATACCAGATATTGTAATAAGCCAGGGGTCTTTCTTATTACCCAGAGGAGAAAACAGACATGTAAAGAGAATGACTTACAACACATGTTCCTGAATGCTGTGTTTACCTTTAACACCATTCTGTGGGAGTTTAGAAGAACCTTAACCAGGGCGTAGAGTGGATGAGAGGAGGGGATGAATTTATGTTTTTCCTCTCTTTCTATTCTAACCCAACACTAAAGGTCAAAGAATTCTTGAGGAAGGTAATTCTTGAGCCGTGATTGTTTGCAAAGGCTGCTGTACAAACGAAGTCTGTTGCTATGTGCCTTCCACCTCATGTTTCTTTATTCTGTAGGAAAAAAAGAGACCTTTGTCTTTCTCTGCTTGATAACTCCTCTGCTTCCTCGAGAAACATTTTTCTAGAGGAAGTTAACCAATATTTGTTAATGTGCCAGGAACCACATTATTGTTATACAACTTATTTTTCACATCAACTTTATGAAGTTAAAATCTTGTTTATCCATTTGGCAGATGAGGAAAATAAAGCTCAGAGAGGTGAGTTAACTTACTTAGGGTCATACAGCTAGAAATTAGTAGAACCAGTATTTAAATACCAATCTCTGACTCCAAAGCCTATAATTTATTCATTATGTCACATATTAATTTCTTAAATGTATAATGCCCGTTCCAAACAACCCACTTCTTTAAGAAGGCTAAAACTCAACATCAAGAATTCTTGTCCATTTATCCAGTTATATTCACTGTAACAGTAAGCTATAGACTTCATCAATGTAATAAATAAAGCATGGTCTTTGCAGTCAAAAAGATCCGGGTTCAGATTCTGGCTCTGCCAGCTTTGTCACAAATTGCTACTCTGAGTCTCAACTTCCTCAGCTTTAAAAATGTATGGTAATAGTATCTATGATGCTGTTTGGCTAAAGAGAACAAAATGTCCCTGATAAGTATTCATTTCTTTCACTGTCCCTTAGTTTCTTCCAATGTTACTTTAAGACAGTAATAGCATGGGAGCCTCAATTTTCTCTTCTTTCACATGTTTACAGTGATAATCTACCTTGTGGAACTGAGGTTAGGGTCAAGTGAAATAATGCATGTGAGTGAGTGTTTAAAAACACAAAGCTGTATGTATATTCAAGGTAAGGTCTCCATTCCCATAGTCCCTTTTTACTGATTCTATACACTAGTCCAAAAGCAATTAACATACTGAATGACTTCTTTGTTAATTCTTTGGCTTAGAAAGACCAGATGTTATCTTAATAAATTAATGGATAAGGTAAACTACTAGCTTTATCTATCAGGAGAGAATGTATACCTGGACCAGACCTTTGGCTAGCTGTCATCTGCAGTTGCAGCACCTATACAGTGGAGCTGTCTAGTGGCACTGGCAGAGTAATAACCCTGTGCCCCAGCCTCCACTTTTTAAATTAAACTTAGAGGTAAACTACAGAGAGAGACTCTGGATTTGAGTTAACATATTACTATAGAATCTGAAAAAGCCTTTTAAGAGCCTGCGTAGCTCTCAAGAACTATTATGTCAATTAGGGTTGTGGGACCTTATCTATCTTGGGCCTCTGTTGCTACAATATAAGCTCATCAATTTAGGATGAGTCCTATTTCAAAGGAGCACCTGTTATTTCAAAACCATTGAAAAGCAGGGTTTGAGTAACTTTATGTATATTGTTGTGCAGTCTTGTTCTTCCCCAAATCAATTATCTGGTATTGATTTCTTTGCTTATAATGATGCAAAAATAATCTCCAAAGAACTGGTGGCAAGTAGTTATACATGGGGATTTGTTGGCATATTTGGGGAAGGCTGTTTTACACTAAATGGTGGATATAAATGTCTCTTTGAAGACCATTTGGGCTTTTCTAGAAGTACCCAATTGATAGTACATGCTCAGAGAAAGAAACTACTAGGATACTGTCCCCACTTCTTTTGTAGAGATAAGCAAAAAGACTATCGGATGACTCATACTAACAACTTTTTACTGCTTGTCTTCTTCAGATGATCTTTTCCATACTAATGGAATCTAGATAGGTTAACTGGTAACTTTTTTAAATTTATTTTTCAGTTATAGTTAAAATGCATTATCATATTAGTTTCAGGTGTAAAACATAGTGATTAGACTTGTATGTACCTTATGAAGTGATATTCCCAGACTCCTAAGGATCACAGACTGCAAATTGTGGTCCTTCTGCCCGGTGTTGATCACACCAGTAGGACGGGACATTATTTAGTAAAGCAAGTCAGAAACTTTATTCTTTGGCCAAGGAAGGGAGAAGGTTGAGCTAAGATCTCTTCTTCCCTGATTAGGGGAATTAGTAAAATCTTATAGGATGGGGGGCAGGAAAGATAGATGGTTTTAGGGGTACAGATTCCTGAAGAAGGGTGGAGAATTTTCAGATTTACAAGGTAGCATGTACAGTTCCTAAACATCCTTGCAATATGCCTAGCCAAACGTCTTACTGCATGTCTCATTTTAATATTAAATCTCCCCCCATGGGCGTGGTTTTTACTATGCTAATGTAGTGTGGCCAAAGTTCTCTTGAAGGGGTTCTAGGCTCCATCTTGGATCTTTTTAGCATGAATGGGTTTCTTCTCAGTGGAGGTCCTTGACTTTCTTACTGATTTCTGCCTACAGGCTTAGTTAGCCCTGGAATTTCTGCCTTTTCTTGAGAAGTTCATCCTGCTATTGTCAGGGGTTGTGTTGATGAGAATACAAGAAAATCAGTATAAGTTTAAAGATTAACTAATGTGGCACAACTCAGTGACATGATGACACCAGTAAGTCTAGTAGTAGTATTGACTATATTCCCTGTGCTGTATTTTACATCCCTGTGACTATTTTTATAATTGGCAATTTGTAGTTCTTAATCCCTTTTATCATTTTACCCATCCCCCTCAACTACCCTCCCATCTGTCAACCATCAGTTTGTTTTCCTATGAATTTGCTTCTGTTTTATTTGTTCTTATATTTTGGGTTTTTTTGTATTCCACATATAAGCACATTCATATGGTAGTTGTCTTTTTCTATCTGACATTTTTCACTTAGCATAATACCCTCTAAGCCCATGCATGTTATTCTTTCTTATGGCTGAGTAATAGGCCATTGTATATATGTCCCATTTCCTTATCCACTTATCTGTTGATGGACACTTGAGTTGCTTCCATATCCTGGCTATTATAAATAATGCTGCAGTGAACACAGGGGTGCATATGTCTTTTCAAATTAGTGTCCTAGATTTCTTCAGATATCTAGAAGTAAAATTGCTGGGTTGTGTAGGGTAGTTCTATTTCTCATTTTTTGAGGAACCTCCATACTGCTTTCCAGAGTGGCTGCACCAATTTACAATTCCACCAACAGTGCATGAGGGCTCTCTTTTCTCTACATCCCCACTAACACTTGTTTTTTGTTAATTTATTGCTGAAAGCCTTTCTGAAAGATGTGAGATAATATCTCATTGTGGTTTTAATTTGAATTTCTCTGATAATTAGTGGCAGTTGAGATTCTTTTCATATATACAAGGTCTGTCCATAAAGTATCCAGCCATGCACTATGAAAAATAGAGACATTTATTGAAGAAGATACAAGATACAGGAAACATTGTGCATAGGACAATGACATCTTGGTTCCCTTCAAAGTAAGTACCTTGGGATCTCACACAATTCTCCCAGTCGCCATCAGCTGCCCCATATTATTTTCCTTAATCTCATCGATGTTCTGAAATCTCCCTTTCAAAGGTGATTTTAGTTTTGGGAAAAGCCAGGTGTCACAGGGTGCCAACTCGGAGATGTAGGTGGGGCTGAGTCACCTGGGCGATTTGATGTTTCACAAAAATTCTGCATGAGACATGAAGCATGCGTGGGCATGTTGTCAGGATGAAGCTGCCAATCACAAGTTGCCCTTCTGAATCATCTGAACAGTTTCTGCAGGGGACTGTTCAGTCTTAATGCAAAATTTGATGCAGATTCATTGCTCTACTCACTCAGTCATTATGATTGCGGTGGCCACACAATATATACATGCTCTCTCAACAGCGCCTACCACCCCCACTAATTAGTACAGTGGAGTCATCATTGTTCATGCATGGGCATTCCAATTAACTCTCCTTGGCTGCCAGGTTACATCGATGTGGTAGAAACCATTTTCATTATATTAACAATGTTTGGACTTTTTCCAGACAGACCTCATAATTGGCCTCTTTGGAGAAAAGGTCCTTGACCTATTTTTTTAATTGAAATGTTTGGGTCTTGTCCCGTTTTCCTGATCCCATTTATTGACTAGAATGTCTTTACCCCATTGTGTATCTTTGCCTCTTTGTTGTACATTAATTGCCCACATAAGTATGGGTTTATTTCTGAGCTCTCTATTTGTTTCACTGATCTGTCTATTTTAATGCCAGTACCATGCTGTTATGAATACTATAGCTTGGCAGTATAGTTTGATATCATGTAGGGTGTTACCTCCAACTTTGTTCTTTCTTCTTTCTCTTGGTTGCTGTGGCTTTTCAGGGTCTTTGTAGTTGCATATACATTTTTGGATTGTTCTAGTTCTGTGAAAAAATCCAGTGGTATTTTGATAGAAATTGTGTTGAATCTATAGATTGCTTTGGATAATAGAGACACTTCATTAACCTATGTTATATTTATTCCTAGATATATTTTAATGTACTTGTGAATGGGATTTTGTTAATTTCCCTTTCTGATAGTTCATTATTGGTGTATAAAATGCAACCATTTCTGAATATTTTATATCCTGCTACTTTACTGTATGTATTTCTCGGTTCTAGTGGGTTTTGGGTAGAATTTTGGGGTTTCTTTATATACACTATCATGTCATCTACAAATGACAGTTTTACTTCTTATTTCTGATTTGGATGCCTTTTG